GTAGGGAAAAAACATTCAACAAAAAGACGTACTTCAGAGTTTCTTGTTACAATGAACCCTATTTATGAGCCTAAATATTTCGATTATCAACGTGGGCCATCACAGGCAGAAATTTGAAGTCTGATATCAGAAAGAACAAAACTGATTTCCTTTCTTTTCCTCCCGTTTGTGCTGACTGCTGAGATGAGACTTGAACTTTTTCCATCGATGCCATTCACATTGAAGTCAATTTCCCTAACCACAAGGTCCCTATCCCCCTTTCTTACTAAACACAAAAGTCAATGATGTAAACAAACCAAACCAAAACCGATGAAAAAAAAATGCTCATATAATTCATAAACAAATCACAACAGCTCAACATAAGCAGCGATAAAATTACCTCATCCAGTGAATGGTAATCATCAGCTATTCTGGAATATCTCCTATCCAACCTCCTTTTTGGCCGTGAATAATCGTGGAATGGAGCCGTTGCAGGGTGGTGAAGAGGTGTGTTATATGGATTTTGTTGTGGGTATGCTTGTGATGACCGAGGGTATTCATAGTTATCCCATGAAGATGAAGAACCAGCAGATCCATACGATGAAACATGCCTCCTATCAGACCCTTTTGAACTCTTACCTCCCATGATCGACTCCTTCAGAATCAACACAAGGAGAAACAAAACCACCAAAGCAGTCCAAGTCTCCAGCTGCAATTGCAAACTTGTTAATTGTTAAATTAAGTTGAGAACATACATTTATATGTTCACGGATGAACCAAACTAGAACACTGAATAAGAATAGATTGGATATAATCTGTTATTTAAATTTGAAATATGGTTGTTATCCCTTTCTATATAACAGATTATATCAAATCTGTTATAATCTATTAAAAACCTTACAACTTTGACCCGCGATAAAATTGTGCAAATTACAAATTCTGGGAAACTCATAAAACTTAACGAAGCATCACCCCAAGTTTGGTTGGCGAAATTTCGAGGTCTAAATAAGGAATTTGAAAGAGAAGACCAAGAAAAATAAACTGAGGCGCCGAAAAATGGAGTAATGATGACTGAATCAAATGTCAGCCACCATTCCACAATGGTAGTAAAATGAGAGTTTCAGAGGAAACATTTTTTCCATACCTCTAGAAGCATTGTTTCCACAGAAGAATTGCAAATGAATTGTGAGAGAATTAACAACACGCTGGATGTTAATATTTCACGCTAATCACGTCAAGTAGAATAGCTTCTCCTAGTGGAACTAAATAGAAGGAAGAGGACAATGAATTAAGAAAGCTCCTGTTCGAAGGAAACCAGCAAGGTCAAGTCAACACCTATCCACACATTATTATAATATGTGAAAGCCTTAAAACCAAACACCAGAGCAAATTAATTAACACTTTAATTTAGAAACTTTGTTTACATTGCCATTCGACAAGTAAATGAATATTCTGCTGACAACTAAGTAATTATAATATATTTGTCAGTTTGCGATGATATTAACAAATTCAGACAACAAATCGTCTTTTTGATTATTTATTATTTATTTATTCATTCACTCATTCAATAGGAAGTGGAAATCACTTTGTGTTTTTCCTCGATCCTTCCCCGTAACCACGGCGTTATCGCGTAAATAATATTTACACGCTGATAAGAAATGTCACCATGTTGACGAGTCCCACTGTCCCAAAGGACCTAAACTTCCAAGAAATCTCGTCAACTAAACCAACATCAACTATGTTATTAAGGAAAAAAATAATGGGCAATTTTTTTTAAAATTTGAGAATGGATAAATTGTATTTCTTATACACAAACTTAAAGTATTTCAAAATACGACTCCTCTATTTATAATTTTAAAATATTTTTTTTAAAAATTTAAAAATCAAAGTTGTATTTAATTATAACATGACTTTCGTAAATATTTTATTTAAAAAAATAGTAAAATCTATTTATTCTCTTGACTTTTTTAAAACAAAAAATTACTCTGTTCCCCCCTTTTTTTTACTTTTAATTTTTATAATATATAATATTTTTAAAATTGAAATAAATTTTCTGAAAAATTGTTTGTTTCACTATTAAATTTTTTCTAACGTTTACTTTTTTAAAATTAAAATAAATTTTCTAAAATTACTATTAATATAATCTAAATTTTTTATATGATAGTAAAATTAAATAATAATTATTATATCAATAATTATTATTAATTATTATATAAACACCATAATAATAATAATATTATTAAAGTAATACATTTTAATTAACATAAATTTAAATTTAAGAAAGTTATAAGATAATATTCTACATAGGATAATTACTACAATAGTTATAAGTATACTATGTTGGTTTAACACTTGCAAACAGACTTTGTATTTGTGGAATTTTGGGTTATATTATTTACTATTGGAATTGATTCAATTTGGCTTATGAGGAATTGCATGGTTTTTAGAGTTTAGGGTTTAGTATCTGTCAAATATAGATCATCCAAACAAACCACTATTATCCCATATCAATTAGCACAAAATAGTGAGTAATTAGATGCTTACACTAACATAACTTTCTAGTAGTTCCTATTAACAAATTGATAACTATGCACGAGGCCCAAAAAGGCACATAGGCTCACTAAGATTAGTACAAATACAAACCGAGTTAAATGGTAGGTATTATTGATTAGATAATTCTTTATTTAATAATATTTATTATTTTGATCAAATACTTTCTTGAGTGTTGAAGTACCGTTTGTCTCATAATAGGAGACGGAGTCCCTTCACACAGAATGTATAACCCATCAAAGAAACATTTGTCAAGACCAAGACAAGATGCTAGCACATAAGTGTTACTATACTAATACAATACTTAAATATTCATACTTACACACACTACCCATATTTTACTTATGTGTTAATTGTTAAATCAATAAAAATAATAATTTAAACATTACTATAATTAAATTAAAAATTAATTCTTGAATTATCTAAGCATAATATTAAATTACTAAAAAAACAAAAAAAAACTTTCAAATATAATTTAAAATTATTTAAACATATATCATAACTCATAACTAAACAACATTATAAACATAATATTTTAAATATAATGTTATAATAATTTAATATAATCATTAAAAACTTACAAATACTCTCTGAAACCTACCAAAAAAATATACTATAACGTTAAATAACTTATAATTATATTATAAATTTAAAATAACACATTGACATTAATTACCTTTAGAATCAAATTCTTTATATTTATGTAAATGCTTATATATTGTTTTGGTCTCACAATATTTTTTGTTATAATATGTAAAGACGACAGAAGGAGTAAAAGACAAGGAAAAATCGAATTTTTGCAGATGTAACAACATTTTGGCAAGTTATATATCGTGAATAATTTATTTTAAAGTTAAACAAAATTGATAATCTTAAATTTAATTTTAAATGATTAGATGAAATTAATAATTTTATTTGGTTAAATTATTCATAATTACTGTACAAGTTTTATAGACAACCATATATATATATATAAGGAGGGATCCGTTTACTCTAAGAGTAAGGAGTAAGTCTAGGTTTAGAGTTTAATAACTCATGTTCTATATCAAATTTCAACGATTCAACCGTTTTTAAAATTCTGAATGCATAAATTAAGTCTGCAATTTTTTTAAAATTTGAAAATCATTTGATACTTCATTCCATTAATTCAAATCGACGAATAATCATAAAATTATTTTATACATTGATTTAAATTAATGAAACGAAGTATCAAATGATTTTAAAATTTTTTAAAAAATTTGCAGATTTGATCTATGTATTAAGAACTTTAAATTCAACGGTTGGATCGTTAAAATTTGATGTAAAACATGATTTATTGAATGAAGTAAATTTAGATAGACTTACTTGTGAAGTAAACGGATCCCTCCTCATATATATATATATATATATAACTAGTAAATAACTTGTGTGTATGTACGTTTTCTTTTTTGATTACTTATAAAATAAGTTTTGTTTAAATAATTCTATATTAAATTGAAATAAAATAATAAGATGAAAGTATATATAAAGGAAAAAAATGATGCAAATTTTATATTAGATACAAATGAAATTCATTTAATTAATCATTTTATCTTCAATTAAAATATTTAATTAAATAATGCATAATATCATATATAATATAAGTAACATACTCTATCAAGTTAAACAAATGAGTTGTATAACTCTATTCACCCAATAATCAAAACCAAGCTAACACAGATAATAATGTATTATTTAATTAATTATTTTAAAAATTAAACTATGAAAATATATAGAAAAAATAAGACAAGTGAAGTAGTTATATATAATAATTTGACTTCCAACAAAAAATTTCTCTCTTTTTAAACATGGATTTTTGCTATAAATAAGATAAATCACTTATGTAAAATTACATTAGAGACAAGTAATTTATTTGAATAATTAATATGTACAAAATTATAAAACTTATATAAAAGTATTTATTTAGCCAACATAATATCAACCAAAATAGTAAAATAAAAAATATATATATTATTACGCATAAATTTTTAAAGAGTGTGATTAATTGATTTTGTAGTTATATAACTAAAGTTTAATCCTGACTTATTATTAATGTAGGTTGTCTTTGAACATTTGAGTATGTATTACTTGAGACATTTTTAAAGTTAATTTATAATACTTTTTTCTATTTACTATATCATCTAATTGGTACTAAATTTTACTAAAATAAAGTTATAAAAAAAAACTAAAAAAGTAAATGTTAATAATTCTTTTTACTTATTTAAATATTTACACATGACATAATATAGAAAAGCTTAATAACATAAAATTGTTATTCTATTATATAGAAGGAAGGGATCAAATGACTTCAAAAATAACTTTTGCTTAAGTTATTCGACTCAATAACTCATAACGTGAGTTAAATTTTAACGATTTAATTATTAAATTAAAAGTTCTTAATATATAGATAAAATTACAAATTTTAAAAACTGTATGATACTTGCTTTTGTTAATTGATAATCGATGAATAATTATAAAAAAAATATTTTATACGATTTAATATAATGGAATATTGTATAATTTTCAAAAATTTTTTAGAATAAACACAAATTATTTAATACAAACATATATGTGTGATTATATGTTGCATAAAAAATAAAATACATAAATAAAATATGAATATAAGATAAATATAGAGATAAAGTCAAAAACAAAATAAATAATAAGATTAAGAACAGAGAAAATAAATAAAAAGAAAAATATGAAAAGAAAAATTGTATCTTGGAAGAAGAAGAAAAAAAACTGTAAGAATTAAATAACTTTAATAATAATGATGGTGACTTTAAAATAAATAAAAGATAAAAAATTAGATTATGAATTTTGTTACAGAATAAAATATCCTCCTTTTATTATAATTTTAGATAGGATATTAGAAAATTTTTATTTTTTAAATTTTAAAAAAATTAAGAGTAAAAATGAAGTCTCAATAATAAAAAAGAAAACTTGATAAAGGCTATTTTGTCTCTCTTTAGTGATTTATTATGCGTTCCGTGACGTGAAGGAGCGCTCTCTCTCACCCCCAACGCACGGTCCTTTTCGCTTCTCCTAGTCTTTCTCTGTCGCCACTCGCAATCTCTTGCAAACGAAGTTTCCTTCCTCAGACTCACCCACCATCACTCCAATCTTCTGGACTCGCGTCCACCATTACCATTTTTACGTCCCCAATCCTAAACAAATAATTACCCTTCCCTTATATAACTTTCTTTCCTTTTTTTTCTTTCTTTCTTTCTTTATTTATTTATTTTCTTGACTTATATATTCATCCAATAAACAATTCATCAATCAGGTTTATTTTACACTCTTATTTTAAGAATTGTAACTCCAAAAACTAAATAAAGATAAATTCTGAATTCTCAATCTGAAATTCCTATATTCTTTAGAGGCTGACTGGTAGGTACGTTGTGGCGATGTTTCTTCATCAATCAATAATCACCAGCAACATAATCACCTTAGATTAGAGTTCTTAGTGCTACTTCTTATTCCTCCTATATTGTTGCTTCGCTCCAATTTCTAGGGTTTATCACATAATATCAAATTAAATATATGTTATTAAATTGAATGGCCGGCGCCGGCGACCTAGATGCTGATGCGGTGCTCAGCGACGTCGAGGACGACGCCGGAGATCCCACTCCGATCGCTAAACCTCCCTCGCCGGAAGATGTCTCCGTTGAGAAACTCCGGGAGGTTATGGAAGAACTCGATCGCGAGCGACAAGCGCGCGTTGCCGCGGAGAATGCCAAGTCCGAATTGCAGGTTTCGTTCAACCGGTTGAAGGCTTTGGCACACGAGGCAATAAAGAAGCGCGACGATTTCGGGCGTCAGCGCGACGACGCTGTTCGGGAGAAGGAGGAGACGGCAAAGCGATTGGAAGAAACGACAAAGCATTTGGAAGAAACGGCAAAGGAACGTGACGCACTGCGATCGGAGATTGGGAATTCGAGCCACATGCTCGTCACCGGCATGGAGAAGATCTCGGCGAAGGTCAGCAGTTTCGCCGGCAACGCGCTGCCCTTGCCGCGGTCGCAGAAATACACCGGCATGGCGGCGGCGGCTTATGGCGTCATCAAGCGCGCGAATGAGATTGTGGAAGAGCTTTTGAAACAGAATGAAGCGACTGTCAAGGCTAGGAACGAGGCGAGAGAGCAGATGGAGCAGCGGAATTACGAGATTGCTATTGAGGTTTCTCAGCTTGAGGCCACGATCAGTGGCTTGAGGGATGAGGTTGCGAAGAAGGTTTCTGAAGTTGAGGGTTTGGAGAAGGATTTGGCTGTTAGGGATCAGAAGTTGAATGTTGTTTCGGAGAATTTGAGTAAGGGGGAAAATGAGGCTTTGCAGTTGAGGGAGTTTGTTGGTGAGTGCGAGGACAAGTTGAGTAAGTTGGAATCTCGGATGGAAGCTCAAAGGCCTTTGTTGATTGATCAGTTGAGTTTTGTTTCCAAAATTCATAACCAGATTTGCAATGTTGTTAAGATACTTGATGATGGTGGCACCTCGGAGCTGTCTGAATCGTTGTTTGTCCCGCAAGAAACGGACGTTGAGGAGAATATACGTGCCTCTTTGGCTGGTATGGAGTCCATATATGAGTTGACTAAGGTTGTTGTTCAGAAAGCAAAAGATGTGGTTGAGGAGAAGAATCACGAGATCAAGAGTTTAGATGAGACGGTGAATCGGTTAGTTAAAGAGAAGGATCAAATTGGTTCCTTGCTTAGGAGTGCCTTGTCTAAGAGGATGGCAATCGATCCATCCTCTAGAAAGAGTGAGTTGTTTCAAGCAGCAGAGAATGGGTTGAGGGAGGCTGGGATAGATTTCAAATTTAGTAAACTTATTGGAGATGGAAAGGTTGCGGATTCAAATGAGAAGTCGGATAGAGCGGAGAAAGAAGAGGAAGATGAAATATACTCATTGGTTAAGCATTTGTTTCTCTCTCCAGTTTTTAATGAAACTTGAAGTTTTCATCTTATTTTGCATATTGAAGAACCCTTGATGAATTCTTTGTGCAGGCTGGTGCTTTGGAGGATGTAGTTAAAGCATCTCAGCTTGAGATCATTGAGCTGCAGCATACTGTGGATGAATTAAGGTACTTATTATCAGAATCAAATGCACAGATTTTTGTTATTTGTCTAGTTTAAATTTTGATAAATGAAAATCATACTCCTCAATCTTCATTACTATTGGCTGAAGAACTTGTCTATTTGCAATGTCTAGTTGTGTTGACATCATAACTTTTCTTCTTTGCATATTGCTTCACTCCATTAAGGGCAGAGTTAAGCTTACTTAAGCAGCATATAGAAGCTCAGGCCAAGGAGCTTGACCATAGAATGCATCGGATAGAGGAACTTGAAGAGAAGGAGAGAGTGGCAAATGAAAATGTAAGCTTAATTATGTTTTATTTAAGTTTACTTTGATCTTAATGCCTTAACTGTGGACAGTTTGATCTTATGTTTGTATATTGTAGAACCTAGAATTTGTTGTGATTCCCTAAGGTGTGTAATTTTTAAGGAACATATGATTGTTTATACTTCTCTGTCTCAAAGTATCTATCAACTTGGCCTGTTTGTATTGTAGATTGAGGGGTTAATGACAGACATTGCTGCTGCTGAAGAAGAAATTAACAGATGGAAAGTAGCAGCAGAGCAAGAAGCTGCTGCAGGCACAGGTGTCGAACAAGAATTTGTGGCACAGGTATTCTATCTATTACAATTTTGTTGTTGACAAATGTGCTATATTTGGAGGATACAACAACAACAAAAGCCTTATCCCAAGCCTGTGTAAAGGAGGAGGGTTGTGTAAATTGTGTTAGCAATCAATGTAAAACTTGTAGATATACCAAATATTTGGAGGTTGTGACTGCAAAAAGAAAACAAGTTCTGCCCAAAGATTTTAATACATTTAATATTTAATTTATGATTTTTTCAAAGTCCGACTTTGAATATGCAGTAGTGGTGAATTGAGGAGTTTGAAATTTGCAGTTACTGCCCAAAGAAAAAAGCCAGTTTGTTGTTTTGCTGTTGAAAAATCAATCTAGCACTTCCCAATGAAAAACACATGTTCCAATGTAAATTTATGACCCGGATTAATTTGGATGCACATTCTGATTATAATAATTAGTTTGACATTAATTTTATCAAAATCAATTTTCCTCAACTTTGAAACAAATAATGGTTACTAGTGGTCAACTGGTTATTAACTATCTCAAAAACTTAAGCTATTTGGGTTGAAGCAAACCAATGGTTTTATATCTAACAGCTTCCCTCAGAACCCTGTGCTATGTGTTTTTGTGTGTGTGAGGGGGGTTGCTCACTGATGGGAATCTCAAGGAAAAGTGCTTAACCGATCATGTGAACGGCAGTTGTTACTTTGTTGTGACCAAATACCGTTAGTTGTTCAGGCTGTTAGAACCATTGTAAATGGTACCTGTTGAGTTTTTAGGGGGTTATCAGGTTCTTATGTGTATAAAATAAGTATAGGCAAGCTAATTTCTGACCAATAAGAACAGTTCATGAGGATGTAGCTGGAGCGGAAGTCCCCTAGATTCTTCTGTTCCTCCATTGTCTCTCCTTTCTGCACTTAATGCCTCTGATACCCAAGAGCTATCCCTCACTTACCTTGTTCTTAAATTTAAAATTTTATTTAGAATAATGGGGTCATGGACAACAAAAACCAAAATCAAGACCCCATGGCCATAAATGTGTTATTACCGTGTAGTGAATTAATTATACCAATTCCCAAGAACTTAAGGGGCTGTTTGATTTGATATGACACTTTCTATTTGAATTGTAATTATTAAAATGTTGTCTTATTTTCACTTTGTTTCCTGATTTCTCAAATCCAACAGGCCCAAGTTTTTTAGGTTAAAGTACAGGAACGCTTTTATATCTACCACTAGTGACATCTTGTTTCCATGGATTCCTTTACCAGAAATATCTTTCATGCATTCATTGTCTGATACTTTCTTTGCACTCTAGTCTGTAGCATTAAGGTCTCGCTGAAAAATTAATTGTTGTAACTACAGCAAGTTAATATGTTGAGATCATGGAAAGCCACCTATTGGTGGTATTTTTTTCTTCACTACTGTGTTTTCATTGAATATTCCTAATCATAATTGCTGTCATCAAATCTGCAGTTGTCAGCACTTAAGCAGGAACTTGAAGAGGCAAAGCAATCCATGTTAGAATCAGAGAAGAAACTAAAATTCAAAGAGGAGACAGCAGCTGCTGCCATGGCAGCCAGAGATGCAGCAGAAAAGTCTCTTAAGTTAGCAGACATGAGGTCGTCTAGACTAAGAGATAGAGTTGAGGAGCTTACTCATCAGCTAGAAGAGTTAGAGAACAGGGAAGATTCAAGGAGCCGAAACCGGCCTAGATATGTGTGTTGGCCATGGCAGTGGCTCGGCATGGACTTCGTTGGATTTCAGCAGCGACCTGATACACAGCAGGAGGCTTCTAACGAAATGGAACTTTCCGAGCCCCTGTTATAATTGGACTTTTTCTTTTTCTTTTCTTTTGTGTATTTATGTTGATTTCTTCAAATTTGTGTTACAAAGTTGTAGTTTATAGCATTAACACGTTCCACCATCTCTTAAAATGCAGCCATGGTGGTTATTGGTTGAGAGCATTAGGCCCCTGTAAAGTGAAAAAGTCTCTGGAAGTATACAAGTGAGGGTGTGATCACTCTTGAATCAAAGTAGGCTAGGTTCCCCAGTCACTTTAATTATAATTGACCTAAAGTGCATCTTCACTTATTCACTTTAGAGGTTTTCTCACTTCAGATGAGCTGTTTTCCTGCATTCATGTTGCAGCTGCTTCTGGCTTCAGTAACTTTTTATTGCAATTAGCTTGTTTTGTACGATCATTTCATGAAAGCAATCAACGAATACACTCTGATTTTACACTCACGGAAAAGTCTAGATATGATTGTTCAATGTAAGAATTTATACATGTCCACGGAAAGGTGTGTAACTCTAGTTTGTGTATGTGCTCAATATGTTACATTCTTTTTGGATTGGTGCCTAATTGCCAATTGAGTTATAGCTTCTGTAAGCCAAATTTTTCCATTGACCAAATAGGTTTTTAAGAGATCTATGGATCCGTCAACCTCTTCCTGGCAAGGCTATATTGGAACAGGTGGAACAAGTAGGTCAGTCATCCACACCCTGTCAAATCTCTGGAAACTAGTGCGGTTTCAACGTCATTGAACGATATTCAATTGTCGATCTAACTTTTTGTTTTATTGTAAACAGATTTCATACAATTTTACTGATAAAATTATGATTTTTTTTACCTGAATTTTACTTTCATTTCAAATAGATACAGACATTTTATTTTGTAGGCGAAGGTTTTCTAACTATTGTTCTAAAGAGACTGCATTAAGGGGTGTTCCTCAATCAAATTAGATCTTCACTCAATCATGTACTTTGATGACTTCAGATATGAAGAAATCTGGCCATACATCTATGTCTATAATTATAATAAAAGATATTAAGCTTTTTGTGTAATTTTACTTTTATAATTACTTTTACTAATTATAATTTTTTATTTTTTTAAATTTTACTCCATAATCATTTAATTTTTAATAATCATTTACTTTATATATAATTTTTATTATTTATTAGTATTTAAAATAATTTATAGAAGTACGAAGTACTTCTATTCATTGACAATTATAACTAAAATGGGACCTAAGATAAAAGAAATTAAGAAATGATGTGAATAATCTTGTAATCTTGTCTACATAAGTACCATATAAAGTTTTGATGGGACCAATTGTCACCTGCAAAAAGTTAAGTTGGGATGGTCATGTAATATGTAATTGGGAAGTTATAAGAAAATAGATGTTAAACAATAATTTAGGGCATAGATTATAATATTAAGTATAATTAACGAGTCATAATACCACAAATATGTACGGGCCGGGCTGGTAACATGAGGATCAAGTGAGATAACCCAAAATTAGGTCTTTCAAAAAAGATATTTTACAACTTAAATTTTGCTTGACTAGAAGTAAGTTTTTTTTTTAGTTTTTTTTATAAGGGTATTTGTGATTCGGTTTCAATTAATTTTATCTGAAAAGTCACCCAATTTAAATGAAAAAAATAAATCAGTTTGATTTAGATTAGATTGAATATCATATCAAATCTTCTTCTTTTTCTGATAAAATTTTACTCCATTTAATTTAAAAACAATTTTGGATTGAATAGAATGATTCAATTTTTATTTTTATTTTAATTATTTTTAATACTAGAATAACATGTTAACACTTTTTTATTTGATAGTGAAATATAACATCTTTTTACTAGATTAACACCTATAAAATTAAAGTAATATCTTCAATTACAATCTTCAAAATGAATATTGAATCTCAATCCTTAATTATGAAATACAAATGTCAAACTACTTAAACTAATAACTTTTGTTACATGTCAACACTTTTCAAATAACATAATTTTTCCTTTCTTTTATTTTTTATAGTCTAATTATATTTTAAATGTCTAATGATAGTTAAATATCTCTCACAAGTGATTACTAGTAGTTCACAAAGTTATTGAAATATCTAATAATAGTTGTGTTAAAAGTAATTAATTGTCTGATGGAAGCCACGTAGTTTAAAATTGTTTTCAAGTTGCTGGGAGCTCAACGTTAAACACTCACCCCACCCATCTCAAGTCCCAACGCAACACAAGGGTGTGTTGCTCGTGTTCGTATAGATCTTGTTGTGAACTTGTAGCGGTGGCCAACGCATGATGGTGGACATTAATTAAACTTGGAGCATGTTATACGCAGCCTCTTCTTCGCTGTCCAATTTGTTACGATGAAAAATTGAAAATGTAATGTATAAGCATTTCACTTTTTAGGACAAATCTTGGACCAGCCGTCCGTCCATGTATGATAAATACGATAAAATTTGTGAGGCCATTAGCAACATGTCACATTAAAGCCACGCATCCTAGAAAAACTATTACTACTTAATAATAGTATGAGCTAAAATGTTAAGGATGTTATTAGTTTATAATAATCTCTAATTATTCTCGTTAAGAAAAAAATAAGATACAAATTTGTGGTTTAACAAAATTAAATGTAGCGGGGGGTAAAAAGAAAAAGGCTAACCTTCAAAGATGTTATTTTCAGGGGAAGAGGCAAATTAGTAAGATGAAAACCCCCCAGTTTTGAAGGACTAAAAAAGAATACGATGACATACAGTAGCATCTGTGGTGATAAAATATAGCTTCAGCGTTTCGTTCTGCATTTCTTTTTGAGCAAAATTCCGTCAGGGGGGCGTGTTAGCATGACGCTGCAACGGCCATAGAGATTATATGAATACCTCAAGATGCTTCCCAATTTGGACCTTGCACGGAAAACTCCTCTGACTTCAAGCAAAACGCCATTGCTTTCCATTTGCTTAACAAGGCGCTGGCTCTCTCTTAATGGCAGCTGAACTTGACTAGAGACCATGTGGATGTTTGCAAACCTTGATTGAAGCCTTGCAGCCGAAAAGGGCTCAACATATTGAGTGGCAATGAGGGTACTTCCATAGTAGAGATAGATGATCACGGAGCTGAAGTCCACGTGTACCTTCTTGTTTGGATTTGTGAAGTTAGCAAGCATGGTTAGATCAGCATTGAGTAGATATCCAAGGTCAAGGTATGCAGCATTTAAGGTGACACTAGAGACATCAAAATGAGGACTTTGGGGACGAAAAATGAAGTACACTATAAGGACTATTAAACCTCCTATGATTATGACAAGACAGAATATTACACACAAGCAAGCAGCTAACCATGTTAAGGTATGAGACTTTTTATCTTCAGGCAACTTTATACCGTGGTGGGGGGGGTGATCATGGCGTGGCCGGTGCCGAGGCTCGAGAGGATAGTCAGGTAGTGGCTGCGCTGGAGTGCCAGCAGCCAAGGGTGGTGGCTCTTGAAAATTTACCTTAGCAGATTTCGGTGGCCGGAAACCTTGGCTTGTTGGCTGTTTACGTGGACTTCTTTGCTGCGATTTTCCGCGGTGTGGCTCTTGCAGTATAGGTGGTGTGTGTGAATGATGTTCTGGCGCATGTTGCAGTGGAACATGGTCTTCATGACGTACTCGTAATGGAACACGATCTTCATGATGGCGTGGCGACACATCTGGTATAGGTGCAGCTCCATGTGTGGATGGTTGGCCACGGCGTTTGTGGCGTGGCGGCACATCTGGTGTAGGTGCAGCTCCATGTGTGGATGGTTGGCCACGGTGTTTGTGGCGTGGCGACACATCTGGTATAGGTGCAGCTCCATGTGTTGATGGTTGGCCACGGTGTTTGTGGCGTGGCGACACATCTGGTATAGGTGCAGCTCCATGTGTTGATGGTTGGCCACGGTGTTTGTGGCGTGGTGGCACAAATGGAATATGTTGTTGCTCAGTATCATGATCTACGTATTCAGGCCGTGATGATCTAGTAAAATGAGGGTTGGTCTCTCGGCGAGACATGGTGATTGTGGAAAAATGTAAGAGGATAATGAAAAGGAGTACTATGAGAATGCTATTAAGCTAATGGTAACGGGGACAAATCAAGCCTAAAACAAAAATTAAAGTATATAAAGGGAATGGGAATGACTTCATGAGAACTTCAAGGATGATTCATATAAAGGAAAAGAATCAAACATAAGCCACTTATGTGGGGCAAAATGTTTCTATTCTTTATTTTAAATATTAACACCCGATGCCAGTTTTTCAAACAGAAAGTGATCATGCATCACTTATGGTTGCCATGTTTAGGTCAAGCCTCGAGTGAAATTTAGTATTGAGCTGCTGAGCTTATTATTGTCCTATAATATAGAGAATTTGAATTCACATTAGAGAACAGGACCTGGTGTGAATTTACAGGTGACAGGGATTCTTGGACTATGAAGATTTTAAAATTGATTGTAAAATTCCCTTAAAATTGTAAAGGTTACCAAAAAGACCTGATCAAGTGAGGCGAAAACACACACATTGTAACTCTCTAGCACTTTCAGTTTCTTCTACCACAATTAACATGCACACAGACAGACTGCGGAAGATACCTTTCCCCTACTTTGTCCAAAATACGTGGACCCCAAACACAGACTGCAAATTCGAGCACACTAAAATGTTTAGAACAGCCGACTCAAGAGAGGAATTCGTTATGAGTCAACATTCGATCAATATTTTAAGCAATAAATAAATAAACCAACGTGTTAAAAATAAGAACAGCCTTGACATGCACATCTCATCACAAAGAGGTAAGTATATGAAGAAGAAAAAAATGGAAGCTATATGCCCACGATCAGTGGAGTACAGCATAACAAACTCATTTTATCGGTGAAAGCTTATATTGCATTGATGAACTTCATATGCTTAGGCATTTTTAAAAATTTTACGGCATTGAACTGCGACGGGATAAATCATATTAAAAGACATCTCGCCTGATAGACTACATGAGAAAGTGAGTTCCAGTTACTCACTAAGCAAAGACGATGGGGAAAAAAAAAAAGAAAAGAAAAAGACGTAAATATAAATCCTTACAAATTACCTTCATATTCAAGGGATGCAGGAATTGGAATTATCCACTTGAAATCATTAATTTAGAACGAAATTGGCACCTTGAGAATTTAAAAATAGCATTATAGCATCATTAGATCAATTCAAATCTCTATTAAGAGAAAAACAAGTAAAGAAACCAATTGAAAATCAAACAGAAGCAGGAATTTGATTCAGAGTGATATATCCCCGTTTTTTTACTGCAATAAGGAGAATAACCTAGTTAAAAAGAGGAGAGAAAAAAAAGTGTCTAAGGCTGTAAAAAACTTATGCAAGTTGAAGTTTTTAATTATACAGAATGTTAGTAGATTAATTAGTGTTTACTTCACTAGAAAAACAACAACAACAAAGCCTTATCCAACTAGGTGAGGATTTGTTGTTGTTCTGCTGGTGATGTAACCGTAAATACATAATTAATTACAAGTTCAAGTTGTGGAATCTGCCTCGTGCAAATGCTATAATAAATTACGCCACTAGCACAGAATGAAAAAGGTTCACTAGTTCAAGTTGTGGAATCCGCCTTTTGCAAATGCAAGATGACACTGCCTTATGATAGACCCACGATGGGTCTAACCCTTCCCTGGAATGCAAGATAAGGCTGCCTATGATAGAGCCATGATGTGTCCAACCTTCCCTGGACCCAATCACGGCAGACGCTATGTAGCACCAGCCACCAGGTTGTGCTAGTTTCTTATGAGTCCCCCCAATTCTATCTCTTTTAATCGGAAATCACATTAACGAATCAAAATTCAAAAGATACTTATCAAATTCAAAACCTTGAAAAACATAAACATGAAATCATAGAATTCAAATTGTAACATGGATATAGTACCGGAACCAGGTATTGATACATAAGATGAACCTAGCCATACCCCAAGCCACACCTAGTCAAATTAGAGTCATAGCTGCTTACCTATTTCTTTAAAGAAAAATTTACAAGTGCTCGTTCATACCCAATGAGTACCCATATCCATTATGAGTACAACTTAGAAAATGAAGTACCCATGCTTCAAATGTAAAGTATCTTAAAAGAAGAAATTACAACCGAATGGAGACATGATTTGAATATTCTTTAGAAGTCCAACATTTAAGCACTGGAAGTCATGAAAGTATGGATTCCGAATGCAAAGTATCTAAAGAGTTAAAAAAATCCAACTGAACAGACTGAATTTAGCAACTCAACAACAAGCCTGCAACTCAAGAAATGCGGGAAGAAACATTCTTACACTTGAGAATTTACAGGGAAAAAGATACATTGTTTCATCTATAATTTGTCATAAAATTTTATGTCCATAAACCAATCCTTTGATTATTCCTGGTCTAATGATGTTCAATACTGGAGGAAAAAATATATTTCTTCTTCTGATATCCTATACTCAGGCAAGTTGATGTCCAATTTCATTTTGATGCCCTGAGATCACATTGGAAATGGATTTTCAATATAGGCTGAGATCATATAGGAAGTGGATTCTCAACATAGGCTAGGTTAAGAGTTTCTAAAATTTGTGTAATAATATGTATGGATGAAGAACTTGAGATACCACATGTTGGACAAATATTTATTATTGAAATGAAAATCTTTGAGAAATACACAGTGAAGAGAGTGAGTGAATGAATGAAAAAAGGATTTGTAACCCAGTCTCAATACTGCACTTCTCCAAAATATTTCTAATATATAGCAGTTTCAAAACTAATTTCCTAATACAGCTTATTTTCTGACATTTAGCCACCAACATGGCATTTACTTAATTTCCCAAAAAAAATATATATATATATATATACACACACTCCAGAAGTTGCTTGGACGGTGGACCCCAGATGATTCACTTATATTTGGGAATCATTAAGAATCCAGACACGTGTCCTTCACCTGAACTTTCTTTTTGCCGTCCTTTCTGTTTCTTCTCCGATTTTCTATTAAACCAGATTCTGCAAATTGCTTTCTGTGCTGGTTGTAGTTGTTCTTCAGATACTCCTATCCTGCTCCAAGGTGCACCATTGTCTAGGATAGAATCTATTGGCAAGGATAAACATTTATTTTCAAAATTTACAGCATTATATATTGGCATGCAATGGACCAGGGTACATTAATATCATTATATAAAGATAACGAGTAAGAAACCTATTTGTTTCACAGACATGTTAGTGGTTTGGGTTTGATACCATGCATCCCCCCCCCCCCCCCC